TAGAACATTTTGTTTGTGGGACTATTAAAATTAAGCCCCTACATGAAATGTAACACTCCTAATTATTTAGAGATTTCTTTAAAATGTCAAACATGCATAATCTTTGGAAAGCACACATAGATCATAGTTTGTTTTGTTAGTGGAAGCTCTTTCAGGGATATATTGCAGGATTTTAGAGCACTCAGTTAATGTCCCCTCCACCCCACCCCACCCCCACCCATCAGGTCACCACTCAGACAAAACAGGCTCATTGTACATCGAATTTAGTGCGGCTCCGATGTGGCTGACTTCAACTAAACTATTGCTGGAAATGTTTTCCACAAAGCGACCTACAGCGGCACTAAAGTCCCACCCACCCTTTCAACCATATCCCAGTCCTGTCCAGCTCCTTTTTTAAATATATCTAGAGTCACAACTTCCAACAATTACACCACCGTGAAACACGCATGATGAACTGATTTCTGTTGTMCATATTGTCTCTCTGTGGACAATAGACATCTTGAGTTGTACTGGACAGATATTGTCCAGAGGCTGTACAAGGGAAAACAATGCTGCAGATGCAACTAACATGTCGAGAAAATGTGAACAGCACCTGCAAAAAATGTCATATTTTACCGAGATGATGCAGCTGGATGGAAACTGAAAGTACCACAAATTTTGATGTAATTTATCCTTGAGAGAACATGAATTCATGCACCAAAAATTGTATTAAAAGGATGGTGAATTTGATATTTAAAGTGTTTATATCAACCTTGTGATGTGCTTACTGAAAAACAATTGTTGAGAAAAAATATGACAAAATGACACAGTTTCAATTTTGCTGTTGACATTTTAGAACTCAAGCAAATTTTAGAGAACTGCATCAGTGCTGAAACTCGTATAGCTTCATATGCACAAATGAATACAGTCACACAAAGCTAACACAGAAACTGCAGAAGTGGTTTGATTTTTAATTAAAGGTCTCCCAAAACCAGTTTTTCTTCAGCTTGGATACTTGCCGATTCCTATTTCCAGTACCGAGAATTTACTGAGTTAGAGCTTAAACAACTACCTTTAAAAACACATTTCTTTAATTTAGAACAAGGTGACTCTCCTTCTTGACAGGACTACTGCCCCTTTGACTGGATCAAATCAAATAAACGGCTTGATTTATACTGCTGAAACATTTTTAAGGAAATAAAAACACAAGATTATCTTGCCTGAAGTGAAGGAGTTTAAGTGGGCATTTGGTTCTTCAGAAATGGTGGGATGGAGGTGGAAGTGGAGGTGGAGCGACAGATTGGGGTCTGATCCTCAGTTATGAGGGTGTTGCTTCAATCAGTTGTGGTGACGGCAAAGCTCTCGATTTACTGCTCTGTCTAGCTTCCAACCCTCACCTGTGGTCGTGAGATTTGGATCATGACTGAAAGAACAAGATCCAGGACACAAGCAGCTGAAATGAGCCTCTTTCATAGGGTGGCTGGGCTCAGCCTTAGAGATGGGATGAGGAGTTCCAACATGGTCCAAAGAGAGGGTCCCGCTGATAAGAGAAAGACCCGGGACTCTTTGGAGGGATTACGTGAGCTGGAAAGTGTTGCTGGGGAGAGGGGTGTTTGGGTTTCTCTCCTAGACCTGTATCCATGACCTGTCTATTGCTAAGCAGCAGAAGATGAAAATAACAAGATTTTCTTTTGATTAGCATAAATTTCTTAAACATGGAACTGACAGACTTCTCTTGAAATGTAAACTGTAGTACTTTCAATGGAGCATCAATGCAAGTATTGATATTATTGGTATTGGTCCCAAGTATCAGGGCATTTTGTACGGGTACTTGTAAATCTACTGGTATTGGGACACCTCTGTCTCCAAATAAATTTCATCCCAAACCTTCACAAATAGGTGGCTYATACACGTTCACACACTTTCCACACACTCAGAGGCTTCCCACGGTTCCATCCACACCCATTTCCCACTCAGTGATTGACTTTCTCTGTCTTTCTAAACACAGCTCATCAACACGGCTCCTCTAAATCTAATGACTTGTGGCCCCGGTTGGACAAACTCTAAAAGCCACAACATACACCAAGAGCAGCAAAGGATATGCACTGGTTGCTCAAGTTGCTTCACTATTTCACTATCACAAATACACCTCTGTGAAAAACTCTGTGTGTACTCTGGCAACGCAAATGAAATAAATACACAAAGGTCTGATTGCTCATGTCTTAACCTTCAATTTACATCCCATCCTGGCGAGGAATAACCTCCACGTCTGMTGCTAATGCGATTCTCTATCAATCTTTTTAGTAATTTTATAAATGTAGCCAATCACCTCCTTTTCTCTGAAGGATATCTGGCACGGGAAACAAACACACACAAACAGAGATTTATGAGCATTTCCTTTAGGAGCAATTAAACATTTTTTGGTCTGCCC